TTTAGCATTCCAGTCACCATTAATAATCAGTACATCTTGGTTGCATGTTTGGTCAATTTCAGACTGCAGCACTTGGTAAAAGCCTTCAGTTTCTTCATCTTTGGCTTTAGTGGTTGGTGCATAAATTTGAAAAATAGTAGTATTAACTGATCTTCTTTATAGGTGTGTGAATATTATTCTGTCACTGTAATTGAGGATAGATCTTGAAATGTTCTTTTTGATGATGATGTGGCTGTCATACTGCCTGCCAGTCTTGAGTTCATCAGCCCCTGCAGCTGCATGAGTTAGGAGGAGCCTCTGCTTGCTCCATGGTCCCTGGAAAGTAGAACTGAAGCCCAAGGTTGAGGGACCTCCACCCAAGCCCCTGAAGCCAGCACTTTGAACTTGGACTTCTAGCCTTGTCTTCCCCTAGAGCTGGCACTCTGAATTTGGACTTTGAGCCTCCTAAGCTGTAAGAGAATGAATTCCTATTGGTTGAAGCCATCCACTGTGCTTCTGTTACAGCAGCACTAGAGAACTAAGACCGATGGCAGAACAGACTTGGGAAAACTGTGAGTGGTTAAAATCATGGTTCCTTAGTGACAGATCTGAGTCTAGAGCCCAAGTACCCTGCTTCCTCTCAGCCCTGTGTGTTCTGCCACATCATCATGCTGCTAAAACTTTAATTCGTCCTACCCACTAGGAATCCAGCTAAGGAAGCCTTGAACCCGTGATGATAGGTGTCACATAGGGCTGGTAGTGCTGAATAGTGATAGGAAAAATACACTTCAGGATGGATTGTTAAAGGCAAGGAGGAAGAGTCCTGGAATTACTATCTTAAATTGTATTCCTTGTCTAAAGCTTCCAGAGGATCAGTGTTAAAGAAACCGTGGGAGAAGAAAACCATGAAGAAACCAAGTTTCTCCCTCCTAGTTAATACAGCTAGTTTAGTTTTGCACAGATTTACTGATTTTATCGTAAACAATGCATACATATTTTAAGTACTTGGAATCACAGCTTGCTCATTCTTTTGGGGTCTGCTTACTTAACACTGCCCTTTAAAATTCCCTTTTTTTTTTTT